TGTACTAACATAGTATAATATCACAAAAGTTGTAGGAAATATTAAAAATCTGAAAATAACAGGATTACTGCTATTCTAAAATATTTTTTCCTCTGGCTCTATTTTGATTCATTAGTTTATGATGTTCATTATATTCCACAAATGAGTGAGGTCATGTGATATTTATCATTCTCAGACTAGCTTATTTTGCTTAGCTTAATGCTCTCCAGGTCTGTCCATGCTGTTGTGAATGATAAGGGTTCTTTATTTTTTTACAGCAGGGTAGTATTCCATTGTGTAAATATACCACCGTTTTTTAATCCACTCATCTGCTGATGGGCACTTAGGCTGTTTCTAAATCTTAAGCTATTGTAAATTGTGCTACTATGAACATAGGGGTGCATTTATCCTTTCTAAATGGTGTTTCTGTTTTCTTGGGATATATATCCTGAGTCCCCAGTTCTGGTTCCTGCCTTCACAGCTCCAGTGCAGTTCACCCTTCCTTTGCAGGAACACAAGGTGGGTGGCTCCACAGGGAATTTTGTGAACTGCCCCCTTAAGAGCGTGCTGAAATTTTCAGCCATCTCTCCCTGGAAAACAGTGCCTTGCTGTTTTTCACAGCCAGATGATATGTGGGTACCCACCTCAGTTCTCTGAGTGAGCCCAGCTTGGGGATTAGATCCCAGAGTTCTCAGTGGTAAACCTCCACAGCTGAAATATCTCTCTGGGACTTCAGTTGCTGTCTGTGGGTTCCCTGCCAGCCCTTTCACACCTATGCCCCTCCTACCAGTCTCTATGCGATCTCTGCTTTCGGTCCTCAGGTATCAGGGTTCTCTGCTGCAAGTTTTCTTTTATTATTCTGGAAGTTTTTCTGTATTTTAGTTGTGATATCAGTTTGCTCCTGGAGGCATGTTTGTGCAGCATCCACTTACTCTGTCACCATTTTTAATCTCCAACAGTATGGTCTTGACCCATGTTTATTCTTTATGCCTGTGTCCCTTCTTCCTTTTCTATTTATTCTTTTTACAACAGTCTCTTTAGCATGCATTGCTTCTTGACTGACTTGGTAGTGATAAACTCCCTTAGCCTTTTTTTTTTTTTTTTTTTTTTTTTGTCTGCAAAGCTCCAGATTTCCCCTTCAATTGTGAATGATACTGTTGCTGGATAGAATATTCTTGTATTCAGTCCCTTGGTTTTCCTCAAATTGTATACTTCATTCCATTCCCTTCAGGCCTGATGTGTTTCTGTTGAGAAATCATTTGATAATCTAATGGGAGATCCCTTGTAGACTTTAAGATTCTCTGTCATTAATGTTTGCCATTATCATTACAATGTGTCTTGGTGTATGTATTTCATCTTGTATAGGATTCTCTGTGCTTGTGTTACTTTTTTCTTCCCCAAATTAGGGAAGTTTTCTGTCATTATTTCTTCAAATGGGTTTTCTAGTCCTTACTCATCTCCTTGTCCTTTTGGTACCCCTAGTATATTTATGTTAATTCATTTCATGTTGTCCCAAAGACCCCTTAGGCTCTCCTCCTTATTTTTAATATTTTCTCCAATTGCTGTTCAGATTGGGTATATTTTTATGCCCTGTCTTCTAACTCCCTAATTCAGTTCTCACCTTCTATTCTACTATTGAAACCTTCCCTTGTGTTTTTTTTTTATTGTAGCCATATCATTCTTCATTTTCTCTTGATTCTTACATAGGTTTGCTTTCTCATCCAGCTGGTTTATGAATTGTATGACCCTTACTCTGAATTATTTTTCTGTAATATTGCATGCTGCCATTTCATTTAATTCATTTTCTAGCTATTCCTCCTTTTCTTTCCTTTGGGGGTTGTTTCTTTTTCTCCCCATTTTTGCTCTCACTCAGGAGTCCATGTACTGAGTCATGTGGGGCCTGTTTCTGAAGCAGTGGGATTGGTGGGAGAGTTTCACATTGCAAGACTCACCAGAATGCCCTGGCATTGGATAGCTGGGTAGGGTCTGTGGCCGAGTGGTGGGCTTGGCAGAAAGGGGGGACACTCCATGGCTCACAGGATCCTGTGACTGGGGAGACTGGAGTCCCAGTATCTGTGGGTCTGAAGATGAGGTAACAAGGTTTTGGCTGGAGTGGCTGTAAGTACCTGTATAGTGTATGATGCCAGTCTAGGTGGTGGTAAGGCTGGGGTCCTAGTCACAACAGCTCTCCCCTTCAAGATGGTGTCATTTCTGTGCTAAAGCTAGCCACCCCAGGAGTGCTTGCAGGGGTAGCAGTGGCCCCCGTCTATTATAGCCTGGTCTATAAGCACCCGAGACTCCGGCAGGATCTAACTGTCCCTCACTCTCACACACACATTACACACATCCACACTCTCCCCTTTTGTTCCCTCCCTTTTTATCTCCCTCCTTCATTCACACTCTTTCCCTCACTGCCATCCTGCCAGCTGCCATCTTGACTCTCCCATCTACAATACTTTCAACAATAAAGATCAAAATTTTTAAAAAGTGTAGGGCTTCAGGTCCTCAGAGCATAGGGTAGAGATGCTTCACAGAGCCAAGTGGTATTTCATGACTTCACATCTGGGCCCATGAAACTCTGGGTTTTATTGTAACAAATAGGGCCTCAGGGATGCAGAGGGAGGACCCAGAGCCTGCCAGAGTTAAGATGAGGACCTGGATGGAGGACTGAGTGGATCCAGGAACCCCAACTAGAGGCCCACAAAAGCATGCTCTTACTTTAGCCCTGGTAGGCACCATGAATGCTTTACATGAATAATGTTCACTGACTTTTACCTGGGAAGTCTGAGAGAGGTAAGGGCCACATCAGGGAGGCTGGCTATAGGCCCATAGAAGAAAGAGGCCCAATCTTGCACATAATCAAGTTATTACCATAAAGGGGATAGGGGGGTTCCCACAGAATCCAGATTTGCCTCTGCTGTCAGCACCCTGAGTCCTGGAGGCTGGGTTGTCTGGCTGAGTATTATTTCCTAGGAACCACCAGCCCCCACCAATTCAGAGAACTCTGGAGTCAAGGACAGGTCAGAAAGCAGCAAGTTGAGGTTTGTAGAGTCATAGTCCAAACTATACCTGGAAACAAAGTGAGTATGAGAGGAAGGGTTAAACACTCCAAGGAATTTTTCAGTCCCCTGATGGGAGCCTGGCTCTATCCCCTGGCTTTGTGGCCTGATGCAATATCCCCAGACTTCACTTGGGATATATGAGAGGCCTTGATCTGTAAGGACCTGCGTCTAAGAAAAATGTGAGGTCAAGGGAGAGAAGTATTTCATGATCTCTCAGATGACAATGTGCTGACCCTTTGTGAAACCTTAATGTGCATAGTCTTTTCAGAAAGGGAAGGATGACACAAAGTCCAAATGTCCTCTATTCTCAGACCTAAAAGAAGCATGTCGGCTTTAAGTGGCATGCTCTTTTCTATCATGGGCAGGAAAGTGGGGAGTCATCAAAGAGGAGAGGTTTTGGTAGGAAAGATCAAGAGTTCCAAGAGGAGGAACTGGAAGAAGGGCAGGTCCTGGCAGGAGTAAAAGTGAATACTTTATAGGGGCACTGGGGAACCCAAACAGGATAGAGAGCCCTGTCTCTGTTGCCAGACTTTTGTGATGTTGACAGGGGTTGGAGTGATTTGGGGCACAGATAGGAAGCTTCCTCACTTTGCTCTGTAGTCTTTTATGGAGGTGAGGACCTTGTTCTGAGAGTACATCAGGTCTTTTGAGGAAGTTCTCATGTTCAACTGAGAGCAGAGTCCTACGTCCTCCCAAGAGTCAAGGTGAGATCCCTAAAGGTGGAGGGAGTGTAGCCCAATCTCCAGAATGAAATGGGGTTCCCTAAAAAAAATCTTGTCTTTGCCTATTGTCAGCCCTAGAGACCTGGTGCAGGGCTTTCAGGCTGGGCCTCTTTCCATTTTCACCTCCATGGACCCAGAAAGGCTAGGGCCTTGGTCTGATGATCTGGACTCAGGCTAGGTGATGCAGGAAGCCAGGCCCCAGCAGAGGCCATGGTGAGGACTGAGGGAACCCTTCACACCAGGACATGTGGAACCCATAGGTTATGGCCACACATTCTTGTCCCTTGACAAAAACGATAAAGAGAGGGAACCCGAGAACCTTGCTAGCATGGTTCAGTGGTTAGAGGATCAGCCTGCCCACCAGAGGGTTTAATATATACAGGTGCTTCCAAATATGGGGACGTCTCACTTCTCAAGTTTCAGTGATATGTGTTCTTGTAAGAGTGTGATCTCAGGAAATTAGGGGCTGGTGTGGGAGAGGCAGGCCCTGAGTGGGCACAGGAGGATCCTTCCCCCATAAATAGACTTTATACCACCCCACCCTACAGGACCACTGTCAGACCCAATATCTCCAAATGTGCTAGCTTCACCCTGAGGAATCTTTTTACTTCCACCTTCAGGATCTTAGGGGAAAGGTTGCCCAGGAGGAGAGACCCCTGTGAGATCTAAGAGCACCCTTATAGAATAGCCTTAAAAGTCTCCATTTTCAGAGCCACTGAAAGTATGTTTCTCAGCTAGGATATTCACATTTCCCCTCTTCTTTTTTCATCCTCATAGGCATGGTGATACTTTCCACAATTGATTTTAGAGAGTGGAAGAGAGTGGGTAGAGAAAGAGAGAGAAACATCAATGTGAGAGAGACACATCGATTGGTTGTCTCCCACAAGCACCCGAGCCTGGGGCAGGAATTGAATCTGCAACCCCATATATGTGCTCTTGAGTAGGAATTAAACCCTCTGGTGGGCAGGCTGATCCTCTAACCACTGAACCATGCCAGCAAGGTCCTCGGGTTCCTTCTCTTTATCCAGTCGGGTGTTCCCCATGGCCCATCTCCTGCCCATAGTCTGGTTGACATCCAACATGAGTCATCATGAACTCTTGATTAGAAAGTGAGCTCTAATCTCAAGGAAGACTCAAGGGAGAATCAAAGCCTGTTTGAGGTGCAGCTGTTTGGGGATAAGGACTTGGTCATGTCTGCCTCCTTATCTTTGTCCCTCTCTGCCTTGTTCCCACACAGCCTAGAGCAGGTGTGTGCTGCTGAGACACCAAGTCCTCCCGAGAGCCCTCTGGGTTCCTGACTCTGTGCCCCTGCCATGGCAGCCCCTGCTTGTAGCCAATCTGAAGATGAGGGCTTCAGCAGCCAAGATGAACAGGAGACAAGCAGCAGAGAGGACTCTGGAGATGCTAAGTCAGCGCTTCATGATGCCATATATTTGAAGATGACTGAACTGGTGGAGTTTCTACTCCTGAAGTATCGTGCAAAACAGCCAACTACTAAGGCAGAAATGCTGAGTAGAGTCATAAAAAACTATCAGGACCACTTCCCTGTGATCTTCAGCCTAGCCTCTGAGTGCATGCAGTTCCTCTTTGGCATTGATGTGAAGGAAGTGGACCACATCAACCTTACCTATGTCCTGGTCACCACTTTGGGGCTTACATATGATGGGATGGTGTCCCATGGGCAGTCCATGCCCAACACTGGCCTCCTGGTCATGCTCCTGAGATTGATCCTTGCAGAGGGCGACTGTGCCCCTGAGGAAAATGTTTGGGAAACACTGAATATCATGGGTGTGTGTGATGGGAAAGAGCATTGGATCTATGGGGAGCCCAGGGAGCTCCTCACCAAAGTTTGGGTGCAGGAAAAGTACGTAGAGTACCGGCAGGTGCCCAACAGTGATCCTGCACGCTATGAGTTCCTGTGGGGTCCCAGGGCTCACGCTGAGACCACCAAGTTGAAAGTCCTCAAGTTTTTTCTCAGGGATTATAGAAGGAATCCCGGTTCTGTCCCATCCCTATTTCAAGAGGCTCTGAGTGATGAGGAAGATGATGCCTGAGCCAAGTTTCCCCAAGGCATATTTCAGACCCACATCTGACATGATGTGAGGCCAATTCTTCACTGTGTTTAAGAGGATAGTCAACATTCTAAGTAATGAGGCCCAGGGAAAGTTGGAGGAATAAGGGGTTTAGTAAATTTGGATTTAGAAATCTATCCTCGTTTTGTGTAGAAATTTTCAAATGTTGTTCCTTTCCATCAAAGGTTTCATAAGCTTCAGTATCTGTTTGTGAATGGCATTGACCGTACATGTATTTGTACTATCCAGTTCAAGAGTTTTGCTATTGTGTAACGCAAATTAAGACACCTTCCATCCTACTCTGTGATCCCAAACTAGATAATATGGCATTGGAAAAGGATTTCCTTAGAAATGTGAAAGAACTCATCAGTACATTCAGTGGGTTCAAAAAAGAAAAATAAAAGCAAAAGGTTATTATCTATTGCTTCTGATCCCTTTTTGTCTGTCTTTCTATGAAACAAACTGTATAAGGATCATTGGATTTTCTTGGTTCATTCAAGAAAGTGGAGGGATTTCATCTGAATAAAGATGGCCCCTGCTCAATGGTTCATTTAATCCTCAGACATTTACCAAGCCTATGTCCTCTGGAAGGTCCTGTGTCAGTAGTGGGCACAACCACCCATAGGATGATAGTTTAGGATCCACAGTCATATGAGGAAGGTGGTGAAGTGTCCCCTAAGTTCTATAGAACAAGTAAAAGAAAGGGATGGGCAGTGGGGTTCCAGGGGCAGCACTCAAGTATAAATGGCCTGAGCTGGGTGGTGGCAGTGGCTAGGCTCTGCAGATGGTGTATCTTGAATGTAAAAGTCTGAAATGGAGAACTTCTCTAAATTTCCTTCTGAATCATGTATAAACCAGAGAGGAAAATCCACCCCAGTCAGGAAGAGAAGGGTGTCTGTCCTGTGCCTCTGTCTCATTGCAGTAGAACACAGTGAAGAGATAGCTGTTTTATCCCCATTACCTACAAGGACTTCCAGAATAATAAGGGTATTGCTCCTTGAAGCAATGCCCCTAAATTACTGGACATGCACTCTTCTCCCTGGCTGGGGAATGCCAGGGCTGACTCCACTGAATTGAAAATGTATTGCAGTTACCTTCAGTTTACCTTTGCCAACTGTAAACAAATGCTGGATATTAGTGAAATGACATTAGGAAAACAGGTAGTTTTAATGGAAGGTAGCTGCAAAGAGGAAAGGAGTTGGTTTTGGACTGGAATTCTAGGGGCTTTGTGTCGATTGCACTCTGTTGTTGAGAGTCCACACCCAAAAAGAATAGTCTATCCTTTAGGAGGGAATTTCACCAAGCAGCCGTTTTGGCTCATTTACTATTTAGTTTCTAATTGAGCTCCAAGATCTTTGATTGATCATAGAAACACATTTTCAAAGGAGAGATTGTTAGAGTCTGGTGTCAAAAATTATACTAGAAATTACTAACCACTGTAAATCCAATATACACCAGTTTCCTTCTTCATGTACATTCAGAAATGTGGGAGGCAGCAGAGATTCACAGATGGATATTGTGATCTTGCACAGGAAGAAAGGAAAAACTCCACAGCCTTATGAGATTTCAGGGAGTATTGTAATGGAAAGTGCATAAAGGTCCTCTAGAATGAAGGGGTTGATCCCTGTCTGCTGAGAAGTGTAGAATGGTTTGAAAATTCATGTGATGGTGGATTTGAAGCACCTTTCACACAGCAGGGAGGCACTGGAAAAGGGTGGAGAATTTCAAGAGAAATGTGACTTTCTGAGAAAGTCTTCCCAGAAATGAAGGTTGTTGTTTTTTTTCTTCACTACAGATTATAGCAGCTGCATTTTAGATCTTCTACCATGCAACTGTCGACTGGGAGATGTCAAGTGTTCATCCTCACCTTATCTTCCTCTTCCCTGAATGAATGGGGACCCTGCATTGCCAGGCCTCTTGTACTTAGCAAGGGTTGGTGTGATGACCCTTTGCCACTGAATGTTGATCAGCAGTGTTGTTTGTCACAACCATTGCTACAGAAGGTGGCACAGGGTCCGTGGATTCATTCTCAAGCCATGAGAATGAAGACACAGAGCGCTGTGCTAGCTCACCCAGGGACTTAAGCCATGCAAATTTTCCCTTGAGAAGTGAGATGCCAGATTGTGTTCTTTTAAGGCCCTGGACAGGGATGTGGGTGCTCAAAAAAGGAGCCGGCCCACTGGAAGCTAGCTACAGGAATTCCTTCATTCCTCCTGCATCCCTAGGCTCCTGAGCCACTCCAGTCTACCACTCAGTGCTGTGATGAGTGGTGGTAAGGAGGCCAAGAGCCAACTGGCCCTGTTGGCATGGTGGTGTCCTTCTTCTGGGGCCCTGATAATTGCCCCCATCGCCACTGCTGCTCACTCTCTCTCCACTCTGGCCCCAGTATGCACATCTTGGTTTTACTTTGCCTGTGTCCCCACAGACAACCACCCAGTTCCCAGTAATGATGTTCATATGCAGTTATCTTTACATGACGGCCCTTAGAAGAATATCCCCTTTCAGCCAGTGTGGTTCAGGCAGAGCTGCTAGGATGTGAGGTATCAACCTGGTGAGTGCCCTAGTGATTGATAAATAATAATCACTGTCATGTGACCATGTGACTAATCACTGTGACTGCAAGTTATTTTCTATATATGTAAAAGGTTAATATGCTATGCTAAGTGTCCATCCAACTGGTTTTATGATACACACTGACCACTAGGAAACAGACACTCAGTGCAGGAGCTGCCGTGATGCACACTGGCCACTTACAGAGAAATAGCACCACAGATCTGCCTCCCACAAAGCAACACTCAGCTTCCCCCTTGTGGGACACAGGTCCTACCACCACCCCAGAGCAAAAGCCCACCAAATTGCAGCCAACACTGCTGAGACCCCATGGTGCAAAATGTGGTCCACAGCTTAGCCCAGCCCAGCCAGAAAACAGTTGCTGTGGGCACCGGGTAATGACATCACATAGCAACACCGGGCTTCCTCTCCATAGCGATGACTAGCCTTCTTTCATTTCTTCAGCCCAGGAACACAACATGCTTTATAGCCAGATGCAAACATTTCACATTTTAACCAAATGTCTGTGAAGCATTTTCCTGTGCCTCACCTCGTTTGATCTTCACAGAAGTCCTGGAGTAGGTAGATAGGAGACAGGGTGGAATCCTATTTTCTTTTCATTAGCCAGAAAACGGAGATTTAGTAAGCTTAGAGACTGACTCATGTGAAAAGAGGTAAGAGATGGTGGATCTTGAAAATGACTTCAGGTTTTGTCACTGTGAAGAATTTAGTCACATACTGCTTCAGTTAAATATTTTACTCTTTGGTGCCTGGACCTGCCAGCCTTTTGCCTCCTTGGGCACCGCTGGGCTTCAGATTCCTGTTGTAGTGAATGGAAGTAGTCTCCCAGCTTGCCCTGCTCACCTATAGGGAAGCTACTGCTGCTACAAAACATCAATAGGATACCAACTTCCAGGCTAACAGCCTCACTAGAGAGCCCTGAGTTCTGGAGCCAACGAAGTTCTCAGCTCTATGACTTGGCAAGTGACCTCCCACTTGTAAGCTCGGGAAGCCCTGCAACAGCATTATGGAAGGAACAGAGCCCATGCTTTTGCTGTTACCTGGAGTCAATGCAGGAGAGAGAGCTACATGACCAGACATCTAGAGAGGAGCAATTATGGGAAAACAAAGAAACAGCCCACATATGAAAGAAAAGAGGCATCACCAGAAAAGGAAGTAAACAAAATGGAGGCAAGCAATATTTCAGAGAAAGGGTTCAGGGAAATGGTCATAAGGTTGCTGAAAAGGTTAGAAGACAAATTCAACAATATGTGTAAGAACCAACAGGAAATGAAGAAGAACCAAGAAAAAATGAAAAATGATATCACTGCAATAAAGAACTAAATATAAAGCATCAAAAGTATACTGGAAGAAGTGGAGGACCACATCAGTGAGCTAAAAAACAAGGTAGGAAAAAATACACAAGCAGAGCAGCATCTATAAAAAAACAAAACAAAAAAAACCAAAAAAAAAACCCAACAACTTTAAAAACAGGAGGAGAGCCTGAAGGAACTTTGGGACAATATGAAACAAAACAGCATCCACATAATAGGTGCCCCAGAAAGATAGGAAACTGAACAAGGAATAGAAAACCTGTTTGAATAAATAATGACAGAAAGCTTCCCTGATATAGGGGGGAAAAAAACTCATGCAAGTCCAAGAAGCTCACAGAGTACCAAACAAAATAAACCCCAAAAGACTGAGGCCAAGGCACATTATAATTAAATTGGCAAATACCAATGACAAAGTAAGAATCTTCCCCTAACTGGTTTGACTCAGTGGATAGAGTGTCAGCCTGCAGACTCAAGGGTCCCAGGTTCAATTCCAGTTAAGGGCATATATCTTGGTTGCAGGCACATCCCCAGTAGGGGGTATGCAAGAGGCAGCATATCAATGTTTTTCTTTCATCAATGTTTCTAACTTTCTATCCCTCTCCTTTCCTCTCTGTAAAAAATCAATAAAAAATATATATTTTTTTAAAAGAATCTTTAAAAGTGGCTAGAGAAACAGAAAGTTACCTACAAAGGATCCCCCCTCAGACTAGTGACTGATTTCTCAACAGAAACACATCAGGCCAGAAGGGAACAAACTCTCCAAAAATTCATCTGGAATTTAAAAAGAAAAAAAGACTCCAAATAGCCACAGCTACCCTAGAAAGAAGAACAAAGTTGGAGGGATCACAATACCAGACTTTAAGCTATATTACCAAGCCATGGTTCTTAAAACTGTCTGGTACTGGCACAAAAGCAGACTTATCGACCAATGGAACAAAATAGAGAACCCAGAAATTGACCCAAGCCATTATTCTCAATTAATATTTGACAAAGGAGGCAAGAGCATACAATGGAGTCAAACAGTCTCTTTAATAAACGGTGCTAGGAAATTTGGTCAGATACATACAAAAAACTTAAACTAGATCACCAATGTACACCATACACAAAAACAAACTTAAAATGGCTAAAGGACTTGTATGTAAGATGGGAAACCATAAAAGTCCTACAAGACTCTGTAGGCAGCAAAATTTCAAACATATGTTGTAGCAATATCATTACAGACACAGCTTCTAGTGCAAGAGACTAAGAAAAAAATAAACAAATGGGACTATATAAAAATAAAAAGCTTCTTCACAGCAAAACGAAACCATAAACAAAACAAGAAAGCCCACTGCATTGGAGAACATATTTGCCAATGTTATCTCTGATAAGGGCTTAATCCCTACATTTATAGGGAACTAATAAAACTTAACAAAAGGAAGATAAACAATCCAATAAAAAAAAATGGGCTAAGGACCTAAATAGACACTTTTAAAAGAGGACATTCAGAAAGCCGAGACATATGAAAACATGGTCAAAGTCACTAATCACCCA